CCTTTAATCCCAGCACTCAGGAGGCAGAGGCAGGTGGATCTCTGTGAGTTTGAGGCCAGCCTGGTCTACCCAGTGAGTTCCAGGAATAGAGCAAAGCTACACAAAGAAACCCTGTCTCGAAAAAAACCAAAAAAAAAAAAAAAAAAAGGAATTCTAAACATTAGACAGTTCCTCTAAACCTTTCATTACGACTATCATTAACTACGATTCAATGTATTTGTAGTTTTGTTCTTCTAAAATTTGTATACAGTGAAGTGAACAAATTATAATATGTTCAGTTTTCACACATACACACACTAGAAATGAATATAAACAAACACTAATGAAGATAAAACAATGTTATTGATTCAAAGACTGTCCCATTGTTCTCATCTCTCAGATAGTCAGCTATTGTTTTGAGGGTGTTTTTTTTTTCCTCAAAATTATTTGTTCCAGTTCTAGAGCTTAATATAAATGGAAACGTGGCCTAGGCCATTATTCATGTTGGGTTTCTTTGGGCAATATTTAATATGTATACATTTTATTACATTGACTTTATTCAGTTGTTATATGTTACTATTTTAATAATATTTAATATAGTAAGCCTTTTTATCCACGCTTTTGTCTTTGGCTATTGGAGTAAAGTTAACAAGAATACAATTGTACTATTTTGAAAATGTATTTTCCTATCATCTCTGGCTTCTGTATCCACTAGGGGCTTGAGACATATTCTGTGAGTAAAAACAAACAAACAAACAAACAAAAAACCCCACTATGCTTACTTGTAAAGTGTGATTCATATAAAAGGGGTATAACAATCTTTAAATAAGCAAAATCAATTAATTCACATGTGGTGAATACTTATCGGCTGGTTTTATTGTTTGTGCATTTGTGCCATATTTATTTTGAGTGTTCTCCTAATAAAATTTTCTCTTCCTTATTTTTGAAATATTTTTAAGTAGTTATTTTTTCCCAATTTTCACACACTCCTGTCCTCTCTCACCTGAGATGCTACAAATAGCATCCTAATCAGTCCCTTTAGAATCTCTCCCATGCTAACTAGTCTTTAGGGAACGCCCCTAGACCATCACTTTCCTAATGCAGACCTTTGGTGGCTTCCCACTGCGCTTAGAAAGAAGTCCCGAGTGTGAGCAGAGCCCGCACGTGGTGTTCACTTCCCAACTTCAGTGCATGTTGGATGCTCCCTTTTCTTTAACCATGGTTTTTTTTTTTTTCCCTAAGATGGGACCGTTATCCCTTTTTCCTGCCTGGAACGTTCTATGCAGTTCACACACAGTTCAGATCACACTCATCCTGTCCGAGAGAATCTTTTTATTGACTCATTTTTTGCTTCTTTTAAAGTGCTTGAATACTTACCATTATAGGAAATGTTCTTCTTTGTTATGTGCTTACTTGATTAAGGAAGAAATCTGCGTTCTGTGTTTAATCTGTGGATAAAATTGCTTTCAGCTGTAATTCAGTTATCTATCTCCTGCTCTGTGATGATATATCGGTAGTGTTTATAGTGGTATACAAATACTCCACAGGGAACATAAACATTGACAGTTTTAAGAGAAATTTTCTTCCAGTCCAGTTCCTATTATGTATTCTTTCTTAAAATTGATCTACTCAGAAATCCATCATTCAGATTCTCTAACTGCCATCTATCAGTAGTCTCTACACCATGTTTTAAAATTCAAAACCCATTTCCTGGGATATTAGAAATGTTTTACCTGGAAATGTTAACACTCAGGTAATGAAAGGGGACTTCTTTTGGGCAGCAGCAGATAGTCTTATAGTCCAGGTTGTTTCTAGTTGACTCTTTATAATATAAGGAAAGCTTATTACAATTAAATATACAGACTGCTCTTGCAGAGGACCCAGGTTCAGTTCCCAGCATCCATATATTCACTCACAACCATCTGTAACTCCAATTTCAAGGGATCCAACACCTTCTTCTGGCCTCCTCAGGTACCAGGCAGGCATGTAGTGCACAGGCATTCAATTAGGCAAAATTCATACACATACAATTAAAAATAAATATTTTTTTTTTTTTTTGGTTTTTTCGAGACAGGGTTTCTCTGTGTAGCTTTTGCGCCTTTCCTGGAACTCACTTGGTAGCCCAGGCTGGCCTCAAACTCACAGAGATCCGCCTGCCTCTGCCTCCCGAGTGCTGGGATTAAAGGCGTGCGCCACCACCGCCCGGCGCTAAAAATAAATATTTTTGAAGTGGTCTATCCACAGATAATTCAGAAACTTTAAAGAATTGAACATTTTCTTTATAAGCAATTCAATTCCCCTTCTCTGTGTGTACTAGACTGGCATCATTTAAGAAGTTCCAGTTGAAGAGAGGTTAAGGAGGATTATAGGAACAAGGGGCAGTCAAGATTATGATGGGAAAACCCACAGAGACAGATGACCCGAACTTGTTAGAGCACACGGACACTAGACCAACATCTGGGGAGCCTGCCTGGGATCAAACTAGGACCTCTGTCTGCATGAGGGTATAACAGTTTTGTAGCCTGGTCTGTTTGTGGGATGCCTCACAGTGGGACCAGGATCCGTCCCTGGTGCATGAACTGGCTTTTTGAAGCCCATTCCATATGGTAGGGTGCCTTGCTCAGCCTTGATGAGGGGTGGGGAGAAGGGGGGGTGCCTGGTCCTGCCTCAACTGAATGTGCCAGGCCTCATTAACTCCCCATGGGAGACCTTATTCTTTCTGAGGAGTGGATGGGGGTGGGTTAGGGGAGATGGGGGGAGAGGGAGAAGGGAAGGGAGGGAGAACTGTGATTGGTATGTAAAATGAATAAAAAAATTAAAAAAAGAAATTAAACAAACAAACAAAAATACTAAATATACCTAAAACTGAAAGCAAATGGAAGACAGTGGACCTAAAAGCAGATGATATGTGTAAGACGTGTGTATGAAGCTAGTGCACTTCACTAGTGACTGTGTGATGCCCTTTGCGGGGTTATCCTTGTCCCAGAAGCTGAGTTAGAATAAGCAGCTTGATCTGGAGCCTTCCAGAGGCCCATGCTCAAAGCACATGTCAAGTCAGAGAAGAGAAAGAAGTTAGTTTGGAAAGCTGGATGGAACAGCAATAGTGTATAGGCATGCAGGGGAAAAAAGTTTCCACAAATTCAGATATGCAGAAACTGTAGCTTACTTTGCTGGGGAATAACTATTTTTTCCCCCATCTTGAACTCATCCCGTTAGGAAATGTGAGATTCTTGTGTAAGCCAAATGAGGTCCAGTTGCATTCACACCACTTTTTGATACTTAGCATTCTCACATCCGGCCTCTCTTCTCTGAGGTTGCTTTTGAACATTCAGAGTGTGAGTTTCATCACAGCATCTCTGGGAAGGAGCTGTCTGGTTTTCATGTCTGCTGTCTCCGGTGTTTGCGTTTTGGAACTCAGCATCTGTGCCACCACCTTCTGTTGGCACAGGTGCCCAGTCGTAGTGACCCCTCTGTCTACACCTCTTTTGCTCAGACCTTTCCTCTGTCAAAGCCATGGGGTCCCCTGAATTCCCGCTTCTCTGAGTCACTGCTTAGGCTAGAAACACTATAACCCTCTGTGACCATGGCTGCTTTTGAACCGGCCTCTGTTCCCATCTTCTGTGAATGCGCCTGCTGTTATTTCTGCTCCTCACTGCAGGACCATGTTGCAGCAAGAAAG